GATCAATGAACACTTGGATGTACTTGTACTTTGTCTTTTCAGCTGATGTTCCCATAACTATTGTATCTGCACTTATTACTTGAGCTGGTTGTAATTCTGTGTCTGGAATTATTAGTTGTCCTAGAGTTGGTTGGTTAGATGATTTGGTATGTTGACATGTCTTGCATGATCTCACATAAGATTTAATTTCCTGTACCATGTCTGACCACCAAAATAAAGGAACTATTAGTTTGACTGTCTTGTTCATGGATGGGTGACTCATGTTATCATGATATTCCTTTAGAATATGTTCTTTAAAAGAAGCAGGCACCACAGCCCTGAGTAGTCCTCTCTTCTTGACCATCACTGTGTTTTGATGATCTTGAGGGTCTTCAATGAAGCTGAGATCTGCCTGTCTTTGATGTTGGTGTAGCTCGAAAATGGAAATACTTAGTACTGGGGCTCTTGATAATGCATCTACATGAGTCAGTTTGTTTCCAGATCTGTGTGTGATTGTAAAGGTTTTAGTTGATAAATTGACTAGCCACCTGAAAAATTTAGATTTTGGATTTTTGAGATTGAGTAGCCACTGTAAGGCTGAGTGATCCGTAATAACTTGGAAGGGCTTGTTTTCCAGATACACCTCAAAATAATCTATTGCTTGGATGACAGCATAGCATTCCAGTTCATAAGCTGAGTAGTTCTATTGGTGTTTAAGAATCTTTTTGGAATAGTATGATATTACATGTTCTGTTGAATCAATTTCTTGACTTAGTATTCCTGCTATTCCAATTGCTGATGCGTCTGTATATAGTTTGCAAGGTATTTCTGGGTTGTAAGTGGTAAGAATTGGTTCTGATGTTAAAGCTGCTTTTAATTCTATAAAGGATTTATCAACTTGAGGTGTCCACGAGAAAAATTTATTTTTCTGTGTCAGGTTTGTAAGAGGGGTGGCAATCTCTGCAAATCTTGGAATGAATTTCCGGTAGAAATTTGCCAAGCCAATGAATCTTCTGATTCCTTTAACTGTTGTTGGTTGCGGAAAGTCTTGAACAGCTTTGATTTTATCAGGATCAGGTTTTACTTTATTGTGACCAATGATATGGCCTAAGTATTTGATCTCTGACTGTGCAAATGAGCATTTGTTGAACTTCAGCTTGATGTTGTATTCAAGCAATTTTTCAAATACCTGCTTTATCAGGTTCATATGCTGAGAAAAGGATGAGGAATAAATGATGATATCATCTTGGAAAACACATACTCCTTTCCATAAAAGAGTTCCTATCACTTGCTGGATGATTTTCTGAAATGTTTATGCTGCATTTTTGAGTCCAATGGGCATAACCAAAAATTCATAATGTCCATCATTGGTGACAAAGGCTGTTTTGGGAACTGACTCAGGGTGCATTTGAACATGCCAGTATCCCCAAGCCACATCTAGTGTTGTGAAATACTTTGCTCCATGAAGTCTATCAAAAATATCTTGCAAAAGTGGTAAGGGTTGTTTATCATCAATTGTAATTTTATTGAGTTCCCTGTAGTCTACCAAAGTCTATTGGTCTCATATTTTTTTGCACTAAAACAACTGGAAGAGACCATGGGGAGGATGACTCTTTAATTAATCCTTTCTTAATCATTTCTTTGACTTGTTCGGAAATTTTCTCATATTCAGAGATGGGTCTTCTATATGGTCTTAAACTTATAGGCAAATGTTCTTTGGTGACTATATTGTGCTGAATGGAGATTCTTCCTATATCTGTTTGATGTTGACTGAATATTTGCTCATTTTGCTGTAATAATTTATTCAATTCATCCTGGTTAGGTTTTTGCAAAAGATTAAAGGTTGTGCAAACAAGTGCCATTTCTGCTGATTGCTTAGTGTACACTGTTTTATCTTTAGTGTCAACAATAAGTTCAAAGTCTTCTGCAATATCCAAGCCAGTGAGTAGCTGGAATTTTAAATTAGGTATTACATGAAGTTTGACCTTTCTAGTTTTATTATGAATTTGCAAATTTACATGAACATATCCCAAAGTTTTGGTTAATGAGTAAGCTTGTTGAATTTGCATGGGAGAATCTATTAAAGAATGTAAATTCAAACTTTTTATTAAATTTTGACTTATTAAAGATATGGTAGCACCTGTGTCCATGAAGGCTTGTAAAGGATGTTTGTTGACACAAATTTTAAAGTCTATCAATTCATAAGGAGGATTGTTAGTTGATAAGCAAGCTACTTTGTTTGTTTCATTACATGTGGTTTGTTCGGTGACTGCTGCAATGAATTGTTTTGGATGTGTATTTTAGATGATCTCTCTGTTTTATAATTTGGGTCATAATCAGGACATTCATTCAACCAATGTTTCACTTTAATTCTTTTCTTCATGCAAATTGGGCAGAAAAATGGGCAATTTGAAGCTGATCTTTCCTGTTGAGATAGAGTGCATACTTTGGGTTTAAACAAATTTCTTAGCTTACTTTGTTGCCTGTGTATCCATTTGGTTGGATCAGCAGGTTGTGCTGCTGCAAACACATCCCTCCAACTCAAAGGTAGTCCATCTGTTAGTAGCTGTATTTTCTCTTCCCTTTTCAATGATGTTTGATTCAGTAAGTCCATTTTTTCTTTAAAATAAGTCTCCACAGATTCACTAGAAAGGAGCTTTCTGCTAGATGCTAATACAATGGGACTATATGTGTAAGGCTTGAATACGGCATTGAGTTTATCTTTTACAGTTTCCCATTTTTTTATATGTGCATTTGTAAGAATTTCATCAGCAAAAAATTCTAAGGCTTCATCTGCTAAATAGTAGATAAGATTGTGTATTTTTTCTTCATCGTTTGCTTTTAAATTTTCTACTTCATACAACTTAATCCAACTTTCAATTTTTATATTATTCTTACTGCCAGAATATTTTTCAAATCTATGTATATTTGCCATTATAAAAATAAAGATGTTTCTAAATGAGTTATTTAAATATTTGAAATATATAATCTTTTGATTAAAAATTTACCTTTTTAATTTTCTTTCGTATCCTGTCGACTGCGCCAAGTAGGTAGCGGATGTATGTAAGTTTTTCTTTTATAGCTATTTTTAATGTAAAGGAAATAAATAATCAAGAATGTATGTATCGTTAGTTTTTATTTTTAACCAACGTCTCATTTTTACAAAGTCCTCATGTAAACAATGCTAAGTGATGATGATTATTGGAATAAAGTTCTATGAAAAATTAAATAAGAGAATAATAATTTTGAGATGTTTACAGCACGTATCAATATATTTTCATTTTTAGATATAACTGATCTAATTCGCCGTTTAAAATAACTGCTCTAATTCGAAATATTTGGTATGTTTTGTGTTCACCCTATTTTTATTTATTTAAAGTATTATAATTTCCATGTTCAAATATATATAGAGTTAAAAACCCTTTTGAAAAATGTCGTTTGAAAAATTAAATTGAAATATTTATAGACGCTCGCTCGATGAGCAATGCCCGAGGAATGATCTAACCAAATATATATTCACTAGGGCAGATAAGCACTCGGGTAAATCCCGGGCGTACCCCGGGTCACCCTGCTAGTTTTATATATAGAGATGACCTGGCTTCGTGTGTTTTCTATTCGAGTGAATGTTTCACTGGTAGAATTTTGTTCCTGCCTATTAAAAATTATTATCTGGCTACGCCCGAGGACTGCTTTAGTGAATATTTCCCTAAAGAATTTTGTTTATGACAATCAAGCATGATACAGCAATATTGTCATTATCATTTTTAACAAAAAAAATATTGTTGCTCAGTACTTGGTTTATTATAATTTTTCTTGGTTAAAGTGCGACAATAAAACTTCCAGGTTTAACTCTCTGTCCTGTTCAAATTTCAGCGAGACAAACATATATATATATGTTCCCGGGTTTGCTCGATTTTTACCCGAGTAAAAGTTTGCCTAACAAACATTTATTAAAACGATTCTAGCAAACATCCAATCCCTACTGAATCTATACTCGTCTATACTCTCGATAATTTGAAAATTTTGCGGGTCCCTTGAAAAATACTCGTAAGTTGAATAAAATCAATATTAATTGGTCCACTCAGTAATTTGAAGTTGAAGGGATAGTATCTTGCCACAAACGAAGATTTGCAAATAACTGAATTTAGCGAATGTACCCGGCTTCGCCCGGTTTTTACCCCAGTAAAAGATTTCCTAACGAACATTTGTTAAAACGATTCTAGAAACCATCCAATCCACCTATCTATTAGAATATACAAGTATCAGAGTCATCAATTCTGTCATCGTTTGCTTTTGTGAATGGAATAAATACCCAAATATGGCCATTTATTATAAGCATCGGTGGTTCAGTGGTAGAATGTTCGACTGCCATGCGAGCGGCCCGGGTTCGATTCCCGGCCGATGCATTTTTTTTTTTACAATTTTTATAACTCATTTATATTATTATTTTAAAATATAAAAGTATCAGAGTCATCAATTTTGTCATCGTTTGCTTTTGTGAATGTATGTAAATAATGTATTTCATATTTTTATTAATTTTTGTTCTGGCCTTTATTTGTTTAAATCTCTTTTTAAAATTCGTTTAAAATGCAGTCGCAATCATCAACGAACGCATGTTTGCCTAATATTTCCATATGCTCTTTTATTTTTTCACAGAAAAATATTTACATGCCAGTATTTTGGATTAATTTTTTTCATGAACCTTTTTTTTTTATTCTTACTGAGAATATGGGCATCACACAGTCAGGATACTTTACAGTCAGTCTCTCAACTCAGGCAATTTCAAAGGTTAATGGGGGTTTGGTGGAAAAGCTGTCGTCTATTTAAACTATATTAATTTTGAAACAACTAAATGGATTGCAAAATATAATTAAATCAAATACCTAAACACTAATACAATACAATTTTTGCCATTACACACTTTTTTTCCTGTAGTTTATGTGTTTCTTCTGTATTGCTATTCTATTGCACTTCTACTATTTATTATTGATGTACTTTCAGTATGAAGGATACTTCACTCAGGGGATTTCTCGGGGGAAGCCAAGTCATTCTTCTAGTTGATTTATAAACGTATAAAATATAAATAGTGTTATATGCGTTTAAATATATTTTTGAAACACATAGTTTTTTGAAAACATTTATTATATTTTAAATAAGATATTGTCACTTTTGTGCATTTTATAATTAACTAGCGGATGTATCCTGCTTCGCCCGGGTTTTACCCTAGTGAAAGTTTACCTAACGAACATTAGTTAAAACAATTCTAGAAAACATCCAATCCCTACTGAATCTATACTTTGCAAGATAACTTTATGTTTGATTATCTGCTCCACCTAGCTGTACCCCTTTAAACGTTGCTGTCTTTGAACAAAAAGGCAGTTTTAAAACCTAAATAATAATTTATTAATGATCAAATGTATAAAATACTTCAAAATAATAATTAACAATAAATTATCCCTACATAAATGTCATTTGAATATAACACAAGTAAAAGATAATAGATATATTTTGATAATTTGAATCTCTCGATAAAGTGAACATTTTTTCCCGGTCCCTTGAAAAATACCTGATAAGTTGAATAAAATCAATATTAATTATCATTATTCTTGTCTCAAATAAATTGCCGTGTCATCCTGAACTTTGTCTTTCCTAATTTTCTACATTACAAAACCATCATTTTATCTATTCTCCCAATATATATGTTGTAGATAAATGATAAAACTAACTTTGACTTTTGCGCAATTAATAGGTAGAAAATCTTACTTTTGATAAATAATCTTTAAGATAATAAACTTAGTGATAATAAAACTTATAGATAAAAAAATTGTTATCTCTCCGTCGCAATGGGGGCGCTGCTTGCGAGTTAAATATACAAATCTGCAAATAACTCTAAGGATATTCAAGAAATTATTTTTCAAAAACCTTCCCGGGGATATACCCAATAATATCCCAAAATTGCAAGGCGATTGAATGCATGGTTTTTGAATATATAGAGTACAAACATACAGACAGACATTCAATTTTATATATATTGTTACGTGTAAGGCCTCCAAACGTTTGCAACCTCCGCCAATAAATGGCGCTTTCGCCGGATTCCCTTGCTGGCTGATGTGGGAGTCGCCGACTGCTGTGGTCCCGTTTCCTGGGGAGGTTGAATGTAAATACGCTTTTGTGTTGGCCCCAGGATGTAGGGTCATGTAAATACACATTGTCTGTTGTTTTATTTAGATTTAATGTTAGTAATAGATGACAATAAAAGGAAGTGCTTCAAGTCTCCGTGCCGCCTCCTGTCGTTACTACCGCCACTGCCATCGTCACCGGGCTACTGCTGCTGCTACTACTCTTCTGGTAAGTCTCTCAGGTCCCCCCACCAGTGGTAAGGCCGAGAGATACTGCCAGAAGAAGGGAGTATCCACTTGGGTGGTGGAACTCGGGACGTCCTTGGGTGGCCCGCGGGTAAAAGCCGCGGGGAAGAGCAACGGGAGCCTGAGCGGGTGATCCACGAAGGAAGAAGCGGCGTTGTCGCAAAGAACCGGTAGGGTAAACACGCGACAACTGTTGTCAGAAGTGGGATTCTTCCTCGTGGTGGTCACCAGGAGGCTTTTTTTTTATTTAAAAGTTTTTTTTTCAGTTGCTGACAAAGGCTCATTAACGTGAGAGGCCAAGGGATGGCCTCTGAGCAGGACTCGCTAGCCGAGATAGACAGGAGGCTGCAGAAACACCGGGAGGAGTGGGACAATTTAAAGCGCCGAACGGAAGAGAAAAGGCTTCTCAGAGACTTAGAGATGGAGAGGCTGCTGTCTCAAATAAAGGCCCACTGGCAGAATGGGACAGGTACGGCCGAGACAGCTTTGGATGATGACAGCGAGGCCCGGGCAGAGTCCCGAGGACTGGAAGTCGAGCCGGGTCACATGGGGGAATTGCGTAGAGTGGAGGGCCTGATTGAGGAGCCTCCTGGACAGACCTTGAATCTGCGTCACGCGGACCCGCGAATGAAGCGGCCCAAGCGAGAAAAGCGGCTACGGCGAGAGAAGCGGTGCCCTCGGGAGAGGCGATACCGGCGAGTGAAGCGGTACCGGCGAGAGAAGCGGTCCCGGCGAGAGAAATGGTCCCGGCGAGAGAAGCGGTCCCAGCGAGAGGAGTGGTCCCGGCGAGAGGAGTGGTCCCGGCGAGAGAAACGGTGCCAGCGAGAAAAGCGGTACCGGCGAGAGGAGAGGTCCCGGCGGGATGAATGGTCCTGGCGAGAAAGGTGGTACCAGCATAAGAGGCGGTGCCGGCGGGAGAAGCGCCTCCGGCACGAAAGGCGGTACCGATATAAGAAGCGGAGTAGGCATAAGAGGCTGAGTCAATATGAGGGGTGCCTCCGGCGTGAGATGCGGTTCCGGCGTGAGAAGCGGTACCGGCGAGAGGGGCGGCTCCGGCGAGAGGGACGGCTCCGGAGAAAGGGGCGGCTCCGGCGGGAGAGGCGATCCCGGCGAGAAGGACGACTCCGGCGAAAGGGCGACTCCGGCGAAAGGGGAGGCTCCAGCGAGAAAGATTGGCTTCGGCGAGAAAGGTGATTCCAGCGAGATGGGCAGTTCCGGCAAGAGAAACGGCACCAGCGAGGAGCGTGACATCGGGGCGACGGAGGCGATGAGGCCGGATCGGGACGATCCGCCTTGATGGGGAGGCAGTGTTACATGTAAGGCCTCCAAACGTTTGCAACCTCCGCCAATAGATGGCGCTTTCGCCGGATTCCCTTGCTGGCTGATGTGGGAGTCGCCGACTGCTGTGGTCCCGTTTCCTGGGGAGGTTGAATGTAAATACGCTTTTGTGTTGGCCCCAGGATGTATGGTCATGTAAATACACATTGTATGTTGTTTTATTTAGATTTAACGTTAGTAATAGATGACAATAAAAGGAAGTGCTTCAAGTCTCCGTGCCGCCTCCTGTCGTTACTACCGCCACTGCCATCGTCACCGGGCTACTGCTGCTGCTACTACTCTTCTGGTAAGTCTCTCGTGTCCCCCCACCAGTGGTAAGGCCGAGAGATACTGCCAGAAGAAGAGAGTATCCACTTGGGTGGTGGAACTCGGGACGTCTTTGGGTGGCCCGCGGGGAAAAGCCGCGGGGAAGAGCAACGGGAGCCTGAGCGGGTGATCCACGAAGGAAGAAGCGGCGTTGTCGCAAAGAACCGGTAGGGTAAACACGCGACAATATACTAGCGGATGTACCCGGTTCCGCCCGGGTTTTACCCGAGTAAAGGTTTGTCTAACAAACATTTAAAATACAATATAACGCGGCTGATGATTGTAAAACGAAAATTAAAATTATACCGCGAATGTTTCTTTTAAAAATCGAAATTTATTTTCAAAGAGAAATAGCGACATTTCTAACTTTGAGGATGAGGTATGGAAAGGTGAAACATGAAGAGTAATGGAGAACGGAAAAATAAAAAGTGTCCAGGGGCGGGAATCGAACCCACACCCTTCTGCTTACCGGGCAGGTGCCTTGTCCACTCGGCTACCCTGGACGTATTTTTCCGTTCATAACTTATATTTAAAGTAACATTTAAAATACAATATAACGCGGCTGATGATTGTAAAACGAAAATTAAAATTATACCGCGAATGTTTCTTTTAAAAATCGAAATTTATTTTCAAAGAGAAATAGCGACATTTCTAACTTTGAGGATGAGGTATGGAAAGGTGAAACATGAAGAGTAATGGAGAACGGAAAAATAAAAAGTGTCCAGGGGCGGGAATCGAACCCACACCCTTCTGCTTACCGGGCAGGTGCCTTGTCCACTCGGCTACCCTGGACGTATTTTTCCGTTCATAACTTATATTTAAAGTAACATTTAAAATACAATATAACGCGGCTGATGATTGTAAAACGAAAATTAAAATTATACCGCGAATGTTTCTTTTAAAAATCGAAATTTATTTTCAAAGAGAAATAGCGACATTTCTAACTTTGAGGATGAGGTATGGAAAGGTGAAACATGAAGAGTAATGGAGAACGGAAAAATAAAAAGTGTCCAGGGGCGGGAATCGAACCCACACCCTTCTGCTTACCGGGCAGGTGCCTTGTCCACTCGGCTACCCTGGACGTATTTTTCCGTTCATAACTTATATTTAAAGTAACATTTAAAATACAATATAACGCGGCTGATGATTGTAAAACGAAAATTAAAATTATACCGCGAATGTTTCTTTTAAAAATCGAAATTTATTTTCAAAGAGAAATAGCGACATTTCTAACTGTCGAAACTTCTAAATGTCGCTATTTCTCTTTGAAAATAAATTTCGATTTTTAAAAGAAACATTCGCGGTATAATTTTAATTTTCGTTTTACAATCATCAGCCGCGTTATATTGTATTTTAAATGTTACTTTAAATATAAGTTATGAACGGAAAAATACGTC